ATGAAATGGAAACTGCTATGTATAGGGGATTACAGGGGTTATAGTCTAAACTCTTAGTGTCCCCCTTTAATAAGCCCTTTTATGCTCCCCTATATTTACAATCCCCTACATAAGCCCACTTTAAGGAGTTTAGACTATGGTACATCTGATATCTTTGGCAAGATGATCGTGCGTTTCGCTAGCTGGGAGTGCAGGAATGGAAAAGAAAATGGAAACTACTATAGTATACTAGGGTTTAGGGTTTGGGATGGCTTATATAGGAACTACTATGACTACTGTAAGGTTCCATTCCTTCATTCCTAGCTAACCAAAGGTAAGCGAATCTGGATGGAAACACTTGCTCAAGGAGATTGGGCTGAAACGTCTCTCTTGGCTTTTTGCTAGGATCACAACAATTCAGTGAAGTCTTGCTTCGCAAGCTTCAGCAAGCTTTCTTCTCTGCATTGGGAAGAAATCGATCGCAGGTCGCAACCCACAAAATGTAGGTTGCCACGAAAATTGAGGCGCATGATGCATACAGTCCTCCCATGCCGTGTCCATTCAAGATGCTGACACCTATTGCTGGAGTAACAACACGAGCCGCAGAAAAAATGCAATGCTCCATGCCTATAAGCGTGCCTTTCATGTTCTCGGGAACCAGCTGCGTGTTCTCAGCAGTGATGCTGGTTGCTAGACTGTACTGGAAGATTGCCAGAACTAGCGCAATACCAACGAAGCTGCATCGATGAACCATCGGAGGCACGAGGTGAGCAAAGTCAGTGACCTTTGCGTTTACAGCCGCCTGCAAACCATATCCAAGTGCCATGGCGACAATGCAGTTCCGCACCACGACACGAGGTGCACCGCCAAGAAGTCTGGTGATGGGCCCCAGCAACACCGCATTGGCCACCGCACCAAACGCAAACTGCGCGGACATGAAGAAGCCGAGGTCAGCCTCTGCAAAGCCGAGCTCGTTCTTCAGCACCAGGTTTTGGGTTGCAGAGGCCATGGAGTTGGAGGTGGAAGTGATGAGCTTCACCATGCTCAAGAAGCCCGCAGCTCTTATCACTATACCCATCCTCCTTACCCAAGGAATCTGCTCCTGCTCTGCAGCCTCGGCCTTGGAATCACCAATTTCCTCCTCTTTTCCCTCGGTCAACTTGCTGGCTCGACTTGGCAACGCACAACTTACACCTGCTGCAAGAACAGATCCAACCATGGCAAGCTTGGCGCTCAAGAAATAATCGCCCTTTGCACCCAGCAGACCACCGCAGTATGGTCCCACAATTCCTCCAATCGTGTAAGCCGTCGTTAGGCGGCCAAGCGCCTGGACACGCTCTGAGCCAGCTTCCGTGAGCTGACTGACAGCCGTTTGCGCGCACAAAAATCCGGCCATTCCGATCCCCGGAATTTTTGAAGCATACAGCATCGCCATGGAATCCGTCATGGAGAGCAAGCAGTAGGTGGCTGCGCACGCGAGGAAGTTGAGAACAAAACCGACACGCACGCCGAATCGATCAAGTATGTGACCGAACAGTAAGGAAGCAAACATCTGAATGCCGGAGAACAAGGACTGCAATCGGCCGTACGATACGCTGGCATCTGACTTGTCCTTGCCAACAAGCTGTTCCACCAAAAATGGCTCCAAGGGAGCTTGAAGCTGGTAGCACAAGGCGTATAACACCACGAGGCCGTACACCAAGAAAAGGCGAGACGAGGAGCCATGTGTTACGGCACCATGTTGAATCGACATGACGGAGTCTACGAAAGGTGTCAATCCTACACGTTATTTCCGCAGCCTTGATCCCAAAGCAGAGCCAGAGCGGTGTTGCAACGATGTTGTCGAAGTGCTCCGAATTCTTGCAAATCAGGAAAGTACATGTGCGGCCCATGTAGCAGAATCACTGATGAAGAAATGGGTTACAGCCTGCCTCCGGCGCACTTGCCATGTGTGCGTAGTCTCGGCGCCTGCTCTGAATAGGGCGCTCCCTTCTTCGGATGCCAAGCTATATGCCCTTTTTAATCAAAAAAAGCATGTGCCTGAGCCAACTTGTATATTTCTATAAATATATATATATGTATTTTTATTTATATATAGAAATGTATGCGGGAAGGGCCCCTAGGTCTGAGAAGTTGCTTGGAGCCCGCATATGCCTCTTATCAGCGGCAGCACTGTCCGTGCTGCAAAGATCGAGAATACTGTCATCTTGCTCTTCACCCCTAAGCACTAAACCAGTACTCCTGGACCGGCAGACCGGTTTGCGCCTCAAACTTCTTGGCATTAAACACAAGGGGTCCCTGAAAGCAGTTGCCCATGTAGCCCAGGTTGCATGTAACAATTTAGCAAGCTTCTGTAACGGAACTAGCCAGGAAGATCACCTCCACCGACTAAGAACAGCAATGCACCCCCACTCATTGAATCAAGGAAGATCTATCAAAGGAGCTGGTTATAGTCACCCTTAAGAGAGGTTCGGTCCTTGAACAACCGTCTACGGTCAGTATACAAGATGGCCAAGCACATTGGCCAGAAACATACTGGCTCAATTAACGTCATACAGGTCATACAAAAGAAATCTCCGTGGCCAATCGGTGGGTTCCGATGAATCAAACAAACAAAGCCCAACAGAACATATGTGCCACTGGGATACAAGGTACACAATCCCACATCCGCTGGAACAAGGAGAACTTCTAGGGTCTACCTGTGCTCTTCCAGAGGGGCCTGGGAACTGCGGCTACGCTCTTCAAGGTAGGGACTCAGGATGCAATTCAACATCCAGAGTCCTTAAGATCCCTTAAGTAGATTAATATAGGGCTGCCCAATATCCTACTAAGATCCCGCAAGGGTGACTAACCCTACAAGGGGACTGTCGGAGCTCCAAAGCCTGCACCCGCATATGGCACCCATCGCAGAAGCGAAGCATGTGGGTAGTTCCCAAAATTAGGATCCCATTTTGGTACCCCTAAGTATTAGCTGCCGTAATGTACTCTATAAATGAAAGGGGCCCATAATTTTGAGAACAATTCATGTGCAGCGACGGGCTCAGAAATTTGTCTGTCTTCTGCGCAGGTTGGAAAGCACACTGAGAACTGGTGCCTCCTGATACCCTTTTTACCTACATGCAAATAAAATTTGCACAAGAGTTATACAAGCATGTTGCACCCTGCGTTTGTTTTGGTTGGTTCTCGTCGGCTTGCAGCGGCAAATCCTATGGGCCTCAGGGCCAAAATGTTGCCAGCGCTTGACATGTCTCGCCATAGCTCGTGGGGGCAGCAAATGCCAATGAATGCCTACAAGGCTGTTTAGGGTTTAGGGTACAGGGTTTAGGGTTTAGGATTTAGGGTTTAGGGTTTAGGGTTTTTTGGTTCAGGGTTTAAGGTTCAGGGTTTAAGGTTTAGGCTGCAACTGCGCATACAGATGCTCAAGAGGTCGAAGACTGCCATCTCGCTGAACCCTGGAACATACCAAGTGTCCAACTTGTCAGGAGGTACAGATGTTGCGGCCTGAAACAGAACTTCTCACCAGCGAGCACATGCCCCACAGATCGTCGAAGGAGCTTCAAGAAAACAATAAATACCCTATATGACCCAAATATATACCCTATATAATCCCAATATATACCCTATGTAACCCCAACATAGTAGTTTCCAAGGATTCTCCTGGATCTCCGACTGTCACAGAGACTCGCCTCGACACGCTGCTTCACCTGAACCAGATGCAAAAGGTTCCCAGATCCCCTAAAGGATCCCAAAAATGGAACCTCCCAAACATCGCCTAGTTTCTCCAATGTAGTAATGGGGGTCATTTTGGGGGGCTCCATTTTTTGGATCCTTTCAAAGGTCTGGGTTCTGCAAGCGTGGCATCCCTTTGGCAGCAGAAGAGGCTTTCCAGCACTGACTTACACCACGAAACGGGTCAAAGTCGACTTTCAGCGGCTTCCCAGGCTTTCGAAGTGGACAAAAAGAAAATGCAGCATACTTGCGAGAAAATTCGAGCTCTTCTAGACTTGAGAATTGAGAAACACAGCTAAACACAATAGAGGTCGGCACCCATATGCTGAAGCTGCCAACCAAAACCCACCTTGCAGCTCCTCAGTATGGGCCCTTAATCCTGAGGTTCCTATACTAGAAGCTCAAGGAACGGCCCACAGTTAGGACCCAGGAAACAGGTGGTGGTGCCTCCGCAAATGTCGTCGAAGCTTCACATTCAAGCTCCACCTGCAATGATTCCATTTTGCCAGACATGGATGTTTTCCAGAATTACGGATACCTTTTACCTTGACAAGGGGTATAGGGTATATATATTATGTGCATATAAGGCTTTACAGGTTGTAAGTTAAGGATGTCTAAGGTTTAGGGTTTCCGAAAATGAGGGGTAGCTTTCTGGGGGCCCTGTAACAAGGATTATAATATTTTGGGGACCATCTATATTGGGGTCAGTGTAGTTTGGGAATCTACCACATCCTTTGACATACGAATGTTGAAAGCACCATACACCCAGTGTCCACGTCATTTGCCATGTCATTTTCCATGTGGTTCTCCACTACTGGGGTAACGTCCTTAAATAACCTCCAGTATCCCAATATATACCCTAATGTACTATAGTAGTTTCCATTTTCTACTCCTTCATCCGTTCTCCCTATATGACACCGGAAATCCCTATATCATTCCACTTTCCATGTCACTTGTGCATTTGATTCTGCATTCTTAGGGGGCCATGGGGTAATATCCCCAAGCCCAGAACCTTAAACCCTGAATAACAAGCCTAGACCCATTGCTCGAAGTGTGCCTTCCTCTTGTCCGGCGTTGCGATGGTCAGCTTCAACATTGCAAAAGGCTACACCTTTCAATGAACCTCCATATAAGGATACTGCAAAAAATGGAAATGACAATAGTTGTTTAGTGTATATATTTGGATATGATGCAGATTATATAGAGATATTGCTAGTTCAACCTAGCTGATGTGGAAAATTGTGCACTTCAAACAGAAATCCTGACGGATGTTGAGACGCGCAACATTGGCAGTGCAGCTCGAGGTCCTGGGCAGATTCTGCAACACACGCACATGATCACAACTCTCCGTGCCACAAGACACAGGACAAACCAAAGGGACCCTGCTGAGGGATAAGTTGGTGCACCCAACTTATGAGAAATGCTCGTGTCGGCGATGCATTCTCTCCTCCTGCCTAGCAGGCTTGGCCATGCACTGAGCAGCGGCCAAACGGGAATCCTGAAAATTCTGCAAAGACTGCAGGAAGCAGCACAACCTTCAAGGCAAGTGAAACAAGCACCCACGGCAGCCAAGTCGAAGCATGTCAAATAAATACCTCTGCATCCCTAATGGGCTTGAGGTAATCTACAAGGGCCGTCAGAACTCGAGCATCGGAAAGGATCCCAAAGTGCGAGCAATTCGGGAAGGTGCGCGTAGTGACTGAAGATGATTGTGGCCACACATTCTCCACCTGCTGCAAAGACAACAAATTCACCAAGCCATCACCTTCGCCGAAAACTGTTCTATCAGCTGCTTTGTTGAACCCCTCCACGATGTCACTGTCAAACTCAAACACCTCCGCCGTCTTGATACCGGTGGAATACCAATTCTGCATTGGAACATTTTTGGGTGGATGCTGTAGTTCCACCCAAGGACCCTGCAACTTCGGAAACAATGATGCCGTTTGATTACCGCCAGCTTGGGGGCCAATTTGGCGTAACATCTCCGGGACGTCTGATGCAGTGTAGTTGCGGGATGGCGTCACTACTAAGGTCTTGTCACCGTAAGCTTTGGGATGTGGAGCAATCATGACTCCGCCTCATGCAACCACCAGGCCGAAAAGACTGCAAACAATAAACATAGTAAACATTGTTGAATTAAACACCAACAAGAAAAGCAAACTGAACTGTCAACATGGAACTACTCGCGTTGACTTGGACTCGCTTCACATAATCATGAGGAACCAGCCAGCTGGGCAAACCCAGGTTCCAACCACCAAGGTAAGCGCTGACCTGCACAATTCCACCCATCCACGGTCCTGAGAGAGCAACCCAGCCATGGATGTGATCGGCGCGCCAATCTTCAGTAACGTATTTGTGGAAGAAGTACAGCATGGTGGGACATCCTTGGGCGCGTAGACTGCCAACCCAACATGCTTTCCTGGTCTAAATCTCATTGCTGCACAAGCTTCCCAAGGAATGCGACAACACCACCGCTCGTTCACCACTAGCCTGCACAACAAAGCGAAATGCAGTCGCGGCCTGTAACATGCGCAGCTCCCAACTTCCACAGTGTTGTGACAAGAATTTGTGTACCAATGCACCCATGCTGCATGTTTGAATTCAACCCCAAGAAAACCTACAACGTCTTAGTAGCTTGAGAATCAACGGCACCAAAATCTACACTGCCTACATGCAAACCGTACTGCAATGCCTGCAACTTTGATTATCAAGCCGCATATCACCCTGCCCTGCCAAAAGCTGTCTTCTCTTTCTCCCCTACAGGATGCCTATCCTGGTTAACAGGACGGACCACATGTTGGTCAACTTGTCCTGGGCTACAAACAAACCTAATGGCTAGAGGTTTCTGTGATATACGTTCGCAAGATTTCGCAAGATCTTCTCAATGGCTGCTTGGCAATGCTTGGCAAAATTTACAACTCTTGGTGGTGACAAATGAAAAATTTGCCTAAAAGAATGCAACCTTTATGTGCAACACAAATGCAAGATATGGCCTTTGCATACACCGACCTGCAAAATTCTCAAGTTAACATCGGGCGCCAGCCACATCTACAATACCAACATCAAGAATGGATTTGCTGAACTTCATGTGTATTGAACCGTTTTCCAAACTAGGGCTGCGTGATCACGTCATGCTCCAGGATTGGACAGCATTCACCGAAAATCGCAACATTTAGGTACAGCCCAAGCGACAGTGCAATGGTGCAGCATGGGCTGCACAGGCCAAAGTGCAGTGCCCTACTGGCATGACATGTTGAAGCTCTGCAGCAATGTATTTGCACCTTCGTGGACCCTCAGTGGCTCCAGCTTTTGCACGGCAACGCACATGAAACGGCCAGGACCTTTCGAGCCAAGCACTTGTTGACAACGCAAGGTCTGCGCTACGATCGTTCTGCTTTGCAATTAATGAGATGTGCGATCGCGACCAAAGAGTCTTGCAGGCTTCCTTTCGTAAGCTGGGCACCTTTCGTGATTGGATACATGATGCCCGTTCCCCCCCCCTCCCCGTCAAATGTTGGACTTCCAAATCCGCACTTCCCGGCACGATAATCGCCCGTTGTTTGGGTTTTTGGACCAGCTGTCATTTGTTGTTCACATTTGTTCATGAAGGGTAAATGCGACACCGGCATACACCGGCGAGGTACCGACCCTCACATGGTGCTGCAGTTCAGAAACCGCCCGCGCAAACAGAAGCGTCTTGAACGCGAAAATGAAAAACTGGTAGTGATACTCAAGCCGTCCGTCTTTCTTCAGATGCGTCAGATGCGCAAGGCCTGGGATAAGGAAATGGCACGCGTGCCAACTTGGCGCGTTCAAAACAATCCCAACACCTGAGCACTTTCCAGTCATCTATGCTAACGCCAATGCCACCTGGACCGCATCTTCAATCAACTTCTTCAGCTCTTCGTAGAACCCACCCACACCGTTGGTTGGTTTCGCATGCGAATCACCAGCCAAACGCCAATCATACGGGGCGACGAAAACATTCTCTCCCAGCGCATACCTGGGCCATGCATCTTGATGCATCCCGCATTGCATGCCGCACATGGCAAGTAGAGCAACTGACGATACATGAATTTTCGTAAGTTCCCTGCCCAAGCTCCTCATGCAATCGGTTCAATATCTTGTCGAATTGGTAGCTGAACAACAAGTCCTGCATTGGCTGACCCCGCACCAACAAGCATCCCAACTTGCTGCGCCAAAAGATCACCAAAATGCCTTGTGCGACTTCCCGGAAGCTGTGCCGTTCCGCCAACCAAGCGGTCGCAATCGAACTCCTGGCAAATTCCTTGGCAACTCAAGGCCTCACGCTGACTACAATAGCCCATGCAATAGCCCACTTGAACGCACAGCAACTGTCGAAATGCCCCCCAGTGTCGAATACTCGTCAGTCTTCGCATCGTACGTCAGGCTAAGGCGAGCAGTCAGGCAATCAATTTCAAGAGGCAGCGCTTGCACCTGTTTGCAAAGCTTTGTGCCATCAGGTCTCAACAACAACGCATACCGTGGGGGCACGAAGCCAATACTTTCTTCCTACAAAAGCACATGCGTTTTCAAATTGACGTTGGATTCACACGTCATGGTGAGGTGGGAATCGGTATTTGTGTGTATTTGTTGGTTGTTGCGCGGTAAACCTTCTGCAAAATTGTATGTTCATTTCCATGAACCACAATTCAACTGTTGCCATCTTACATGCTCAATGCATCTGCGGCACTGGGCTCACCCAAACTTGCATCCATTCACCTGATGTCGTACGCTTGCACCAGGAGTGCGGCATGGCCGCGTCATTCTCTTCAACCTCGAGAGGACTGCCCGTCAGCCCAGGCACAATGATTAGTGGATGCCTGCCAGCATGCCTTTCAACGGCATACACACAAGTCAGGCAAAATAACAGCAACTTCATTGCTCGCAAATGTGGTGGGTGCTACCTGAACTTGAACCAATTTGCGGACACATGCTATTTGCATGGTAGCGAAACAAGGGCAATAACCATCTCAAGTCCAAAATGTCACCTGCACACACAACAGCTAGACTGCAGAAGGCCAAAACACGGGAAAAAACGTTCCCATCGCTATACGTGCACGTCTATTCCTTTCCTGCCAATCTCAGGAGACCATCGCAGTGGCCCAAATGGCCATCCGTGAAGAGGAAGCTGCCCCCAACATCAGCGCCGGATATGCGCAACGATTCTGGTGAAGTTCACCGTGCTTGGCTACCCGTACATGACCCAAACCCAGGGCTAAAGAGGATTACGCACGAATGCTCTGATAGCAATTTTGCTGTCCGGAAAACCCGCTCTGAGACTGATAAATGTCATCTACATAAGGTACGTACGCAAAAAGAGAATGCCGCGCCCACAGCCGTAAATGCAAAAAAAAAAATTGCTGCGGACTTTTATGCCTGCAT